GCGTGTGGCACAGAGCGTACAACATTCCAAAGCATTTGATAAACGGCGACGCATCGCATCCACTCCCTCTCATAGCCATGAAAATCCTTTTTCCACTTGCTAATACAGAGAAAGAAACTAGGAGGGTCTACTATAAGCTAGCTCTAAGGGATAGGGATAATAGTCCTTAAATTATGTCTGCTATCCTTTCCTCCAAAAACTAAAGATTTGTTCACTTTTAAAAAGAATCTTTGCTTTGGGAAGCTGCTGCTCTTAAGGGAGTAATGTTGCTTAAATTCTTAGAAATTCTAGAAACTTTCTTTTCATAGATCTATCTTCTTTTCATTTGTATCTATCACTATTATATTGCTATTTATCAACTTCAAACAATTTCCAGTGCATTGAAAGGGTTCGTAGTTTTCCTTTTGATTTCTACTGAGCTGCGTTGTGATTTCTTGAAAGGTGCATTCAAGGAAGGTGAAAAAAAGGAACACAGAAAAAGGAGTCAAGTTAAGGCAACATCAGGAGAGACAAGATAAATGTGAAACTATGTTCTTTGGTTTTGCATATATAATCTATATATATATCTATCAATAGCTATTAATAGCCATCAATATCTATCCATATCATATCTCTAAAGTTATTCAATATTAAATATAAATAAGCAAAATAGAGGAGAGTTTGTTTTAAAATCAAACAAACAAAACAAAGATAAAAATGAACCTATCCTTAAGATAAACTGATTTTAGGGAGCTTGGCAAATGTTATATACATTCGATTAATACATAAACTTGATTATGATTATGATTTGGTTTGATTCTGAAACCTTTCCCCTGAAAAGCAACCCAAGCAACTCCAACTTAAAACAACCCAATTAACTGACTTCGAAACTCTTTAAAGCCTTAACTCTCTTCCATGGGAAGACTATCTCCCGTCTAGTGATTATTTGATATCCTGCCAACGTGCTCTTTAAGCCTGATTTTGAATCAAAGTGAATGTTTGCGAGTTTAAGGAGCTTTTTATGTGCTCGCCAGCTTTTAATTGAGCTTAGCGAAGAGGGGAGGCGTTTTTCCGCTGTTTTTCCTTGTTTCCTTTGGCAGAGTGCCGTCAGGCCAAAAATGAATCCGAGTGTTTTGACTTTGTCGAATTAGCCATTGTGATAACATTTATGAGCCTCCCACTTCCTCCTTGTGTGTGTGTTTGTGTGTGTATGCCAGTGTGCTCCATCGTATTTAATTGGGCAAGCGATTGCCTGACTTGCTTACAAATGTTCGTTTTCGGTCGGGCCAAAAGATCACCCATACGCCCGGTGGGTTTAAGCCAAGCGTAAGACGGAAAAAATTCTTGGGTTGGATGGAGGGCGTCACGCACTTGAGGACTCCTCGCGCACGTATTGAGTATGTGTATATATATGTGTGTGTGTGAATATTGCACGCGATAAATTATTTTAAAGCGCGCTTTCCGCCGCTTTTCCATTTCCACTTTACCAGCCAGTTTACCAGTTTTCCCGTTTTGCTACCCCCTAGGGCCCCGTGCAGACATCTATTTAATATAGCGCAACGCATCAGTTTTAATATTGTTACGATTTTATTTACGCACATGAACATTTATAAACGTTTATGACATGTCTGGGCAGGGCAGGGCATGGTAGGGCAAGGTAGGGCCTCCTCTCAATACCCAATGTTTGCCTTCAGTTTTGTGGGCCAAAAAAACAACGGGGCGACACTACTCAAATAATATTTATTGTTTCTGATTTTTCTTTAGTCATTATTATTACGCATATTTATTATGCATTTATTAATTTGTTTTGCTGTGGTTTCTCTGTCACCCCCCTTTCCCTTTCCTCGGGATATATATATATATATATACTATATAGTAGATATATACAGGAATTCAGATAGTACCGTCAATGGAACGTCAGTGGGCAGGTTAAACATTTTCGTTTGATTTGTTATCATTGTTGGCCGGGTTTTTGTTGTTGTTGTTGTTGTTGTTATTGTTGCTACTGCGGCTGCGGCTGCGGCTGTCGTGGCTCGTTGATGGCGTTTGTAATTTCGTTTTCGGCACTATGTAATTTATTAACTTTTCATTGAAAGTTATGTGCAAACGCACGTTGACGACATCTTTAATTAATTACATTTTAACATGATAATTAATAGTGCCGCGTGCGGCGACAGGCCAGCAAAATGCAGAAGTGCCGAATGCCGAAATGCCAAAATGCCAACCGAACAAGAGAACAGCACTCCCCTACCCTCCCCCTTCTGGAAAACCTAAATCAATCGATGTTCGTATGTTTGGGTATGAGAATACTGGAAGAAATTCTCCTCCTTAAAGCCACACCCGAACCCGATCTTGAGTTAGGTTATGGCTACGTGCCCGCGATACTAAGTAATCCTGCGTTTTAAAGTCAAGCCCCCTATCCATCGGGGGCATGCTGCATCGATAGCCATAATAATAACATCGGGCACAAGCACCGCACAGTCCAAAGAGTCGTGGGCACTGATGATGACCATAATGATACACAAACAATTGCCAAGGAATTTCAATTCAATTCCTATTTTTATACCCATCAGTTGAGCGATATTCGTGGTGTGTTTTCTTTTACTCCAAAATTGAATATGTTAAAAAAATAAAGTAGATGAAAATGAAATATATTTGAGAAGAGAAAGAAGTTTCTTTGAGTTGAATTTGTATCTAAGATGTAAAACTTTATATATTGTTAAAATACTTTTTAAATTTTATGACAAGTTTTAGTTTTCTTTCAGCCTTTAGAGAGTTCTTTTAATGGGTATTAATCACTACCCAAATCCAAGCCTATTATAAAGCTGTTTTCAAGTAGTTTCTCACTCAAAATGTTTTCTTCCTAACTAACCTAATAACGACTAGAATAGCCGCCTAAATAATGAATTAACTGATTAATAAACTATTATAAAATATTACAAGACCCATTTTAGAGCCAAAAACCCTACAAAAATACCAACCACATCACTCAATCTCTTAGTTTTAACTTTAAAGTCTTAAATTCACAAGCCTTAAAATGTCACCGGCCTATATTTAAGTTAAAAAGTATCTTTTAGTCGGGAAACTCTTGTACTACTGCTTTTGTACTTTCTGTTTTTCCGCATCTTACTTGTGTATGAGTGTGTGTGTGTTTGTGTTTTTATCATTCCTTCTTGGTCACGGGACCTTTCGTCCTGTTTCCCGCGCCCACAGAAAGTTCGCTCGTACAGTAGCCAAGATTGAGTTCTTATTCAATTTGTACGGATTTGTTGTTCGCCGGCCCTTTTGCAGTCAGCTCTTAAAGCCTAACCCTCTAGCTCCTCAACAGGCCAATCCAAGCCCCCTCCCCTCTTCAGCCACTCATCCTGGCCAATCCCAATCCCCAATTGGCCTCAGCTCGAGCCCACTCAACTTCTCATTCTTCTACGGATGCTCTATTGGAATTTATTTCATATTATTTTCGTTGGTCAGGCCACAGTCGAACTGGTGCTCCACACAGTTTGCCCTCGTCGATATATTTCCGTACCCCCTTTTTTTTTTTTGCCTCCCAATGCCTGCCTAATCCCAACTCTCAACCTCCACCTCCTCCTCCTCCCCCTCCTCCTCATCCTCTTGAACAATACAAGAGTTGGCACTACTTGGCATTGTTTTTGGGGTGCGATGGCAAAAGTTGTTCGTGTTGTGGCCCCAGCTGCAGTCAATTTGAGTTGACCAGGAGGAGCACCATCACCATCACCACCACCACCACCACTATCGACCTCATCCTGGTTACTTTGGCTGCAGGCCTGCAGATGGATCAAGTTAGCTGCTAGTTGACTCTTGCTGCCAGTCCAACAAATGCTCGAGGCCAATCAATGCGCTCGCAAAAGTATGCTACGAAAAAGTTCCTGTCCAAACGGAACTGCAAAACCATGAAAATGTCCTTGCCAGCTAAATGTTAGACTCACTCACACACACACACACATACACACATGAACTCAATGCAGTCCTGCGAATTTCTTGGTATAAACTTAATAATGCATCGGGGCAAACAAAAAAAAAAAAAAAAAAAAAAAGCAAAGGAAAAAAAAACAATGGAAAGTCGGGAAGCCAACATAAGTTTTTGGGGGCTAACTTGTTATTTTTGTAATTGGCACTTTGCAGTTTTATTGAAGCGATGGAATCCTGAAAAAGGCACTCGGGATATATTTCAGATGGAGGGTAGGGGAAAACACCCTTTTTTTTGTATGGATCAAATTTGAACCAAGTGTTGGTTATTTATGAACTGCGTTCAGGTGTTATGATCGATGTCCTTTTGGCTGCCTTGACCAGGTACTCTGTGTGCCACAGCCAATATCCATGCTTAGCTGTAATCTCTGACTGAATCCGGAACTGAGTTGCTCAACGTTAACCACTTTCGAGATGAGATGGCGCCTCAGCTTGTGTGACTTTTAAGGACTTGTGTATACTCTACAGGGGAATGGATTTTTAAGGGTCAGAAATATTCTTATAAATTTTTATATCAATATAAAACTATTTTGTTTTCAATTTTATATTATTTACCCTAAATTAAGCTTAACTATCTTTGAAATGTGCCCAAAATGATTCAGCTTGTAATATTTTTAACTTTAACTGTATTATTGTCGTCGTTCGATAATCGATCTCGATAGGTTTATCTAGCTTATAATCGCTGTTAGTATTTTTACTCAGTATTCTCCTGAAGAAATGTTAAGGATAATGAGCCCACAGGTGTACGGGCATACTTTAAGCTAAAAAAAAGCTTAAAATGCCGTTAGAAATAAGTTAGCGAAAAGAAGGAAAGACTGCTATAAGCGCCATTATTGCTGTTATGGTGTTTGATGTTAAATTTAATTTTTTACAGAATAAAACCCAAGTATCACGGCCTAAAACCTATGAATCTTCAAAATTCTTGGGAACTGGTTTAAAGGCTACTCCAAATAAGGCACTACCACTTTGTATTTTCTCAAAATAAAGTCCATAAAGATGCCTATGACTTGTTAGTCAAAACTTTTTAACTAGTACCCCCTTTGACTTTAGTCATTCCACATTTAAGTCTCAAGCAAAACGCATTCAAAATTCTAAGTTTTAGCATTCGGATAAAATAAGTGATTTTACAGATCGTGATAGATATATAATCAATCGAATTCAAAATGCAAATGCTTGGGGCTCTAGTCAATCTGCTGCTTATCTTGGCCTGCATCTATGCAATGTATTCACTGAAGCCGGAAGATCATCCATATGGCTATATGATGGTCTCGTTTAGCCTCGTCCATGGACTGCTGACACTGGTGCTATACTATAACGAGGATACAGAGGACGAACCAGTCGAATGTGGACGCTGTTTTCAAATCTCAAATAGCATACTGGAGGTAATCCCACTACCGATGGCGAATATCGAGTTCTATCTATTATCGGATGAATCGGAAGTGGCGCAGGTGCACGGTCTATCTCTGATACCACTGTTCTACGACATAATTGGCAAGGTGGTGGACGACTGGAACACTTCTACGGAAACGCTAAAGGATATAGCCCTACTGTTCAACATTGCCTCCACCATGTATCTGACCATCAAGGATGGTAACCATATCTATGGAGCAGTGGCTGCCACAGCCTTGATGGCTAGATTCGGTACCAGTCTAGTCGATCGATTTGCCGAGGGCTATGGCACCTATTTGGCCACACTGGGACATGCTGGTATCGTGGCCTTAATGACCTACGCACTCACTGAGGCTTAATTGCTTAGACTTTAAATTGATTTTCGAGGAATAAAAACTTAAATCAACTCTATAAATCATTTGGTGTTTAACGTCAGAATAGAAATCTACTTTATAAATCGATAAGTTTCACACATAAATCGATAACTCGAGGATAAGTTATTAAAGAATCATAATTTTAAGGGCATTTAAACTTCGTCTTTCTACAGCAAAGGCCTCAGGCTTTGCTCGCACGACTTCAAATTGCCAACTTAGTTGTTATTTGTTCGCTGTCTGGCTGAAGGAGCAGCGCGGGAAAAGACGCGATTCAAGGGCCGAAGGATGAAGGACCAAGAACCAAGGACGAAGGACGCAGGGCAGGGAAGAAGGATCGAGAAGGGCAATATTCGTGGACGCAGCACTCTGATGGCTCTCACGTCACCACTTCTGCAAATTGCGGCAATAATGCAACAAAGGTTTCTTGGGAAACACATACCAAATTGCATAAGCAAGGCAAGGCCACGAGGATGGCAAGGGAGGGGGTGCTGAGGGGTGTTTTCCCTTTTTTTTTTTTTTCTTGTGAGTGGAGGGGCGCGAGGTCTGTGCTGGCGGGATGGATGTTCAGTCCTTGGCGACTGAAAGACTGAAAGACGACGTCAGTCGGTTGGCCGCCAAGGCTTGTGAACCTACCACCTCCCTCCCAACGACGACACCCCCTGCATTTCATTTTCAATTTGATTTTTTCCTGCCTTTCTTTTTTCGGTGTTCTTTGTTTTTTCAACCCTCAGACTCTCCACCTTCCCTGCCCTTGTTGTTTACATTTTTGTTGGCTGTTGTGGTTTCCGCTTTTGGGTCCCGTTTGCGTTTTCGTTTTCGTTTTCGTTGCAACATTTTTGTTTGTAATTTACTTTGGAATGCTGGCGCCATAGTCGCCGTCTTGTGCGGTTTTCTTAGAAAAATCTCTAGTCGCTGGTAATTGCAGTGCCCGCAGTGCCGCCTTTGGCAGCTCCAGGCTGCCGCGACGACTGCCGACAGGCAAATCAACTGTCACCCAGTTGCTCCGTTCTTTGGTTCCTTTTAGATGCGGGACCACGGGCGGTATGAGCAATTTCGCATTCCTCATACGCTGCGTGGGCTGCAAAGATGTTTCGCAATAAGAGAGGGGCGTTCGGGCGTAGTGCAAGGTAAGTTATGCGGGTGTCACTTTAAGTTTCAAGTCCAAAAATAGAAGTACATTTTCCTTTTTGGCTGGTCTACTTATATGGAGTATATAGATTGTTAGATGGATAGAAAAGTAGAAGACTAATAGGTAGAAAGACAGATAGATAGTTTAGAGACTATTGTAACTCAATTATTTGTGTTTACTTCAAGATGATTCCCCAACTCTTACTAAGAATGCAATATAAGCACATGCACCTGTCAGTTTAGGTTTGTTAAGGATATGAAGGATATCTATATACTGCACGACAGACAAATATCTTCCCATTGTTATGAATATGAGTTTCCTGCAATTAAATGCTTTGCTTTTCACGTTGTTGGTGATGCCGCAGCCAAAAGCATTTCGTTGTGCAACACAAAAGAGTTCATGAAATTAATCTAAATTCCTTAGTGAAATGTAAGTAATTTAGCCATACAAAATAAAGCCTTTGAAACTGTTTTTCTGACGCCGTTTCCAAGGAAGTTATTTCAGAATTAGAAAGTGCTTTGTACGGAGGTACAATGACTCATTGTGTTATTAGAACTTAACCATCGAATGGCACTTCCCAGAACAGATAAACGCTAACACATTGATTCTGCCTCTAATACTCCATTATAATTGCTTAATTCTTTCATTTCATATTGTGATTATTGGTTTAATTTATTAAAAGCAAAATAAAAAGGTTTTTATATGATTTTCATAGCTTCTTTTTTAGCCAAACAATATCAGTGGGCAGATAAGTTAGAATCGGCATGGTTACAGGCGGCACTAAATGAAGGTGATGGCTCTGCGTTTGGGGTTTCTATGATCCTTTTACAGTTGGTAGAATGCACATCCTTTATAAACAAAAATCATCGCTGAAATGCGGTAAAGCACACATCATCCACTCCTCCTCCAACTAATGGTATAATCAAGTACATCATTTTCACTATCCATGAGCACGGAAGTCCATAAATTACTTTGTTTTGGTATCAAGATCAGCTTGGATGCTGCCGTGAAGATTACGTTGTTAAAGCTTCCAACTCTTCAGAATAAATCCATGATCCTCCCATTCGTTCGTATCTCAGCATACAATTCAATCCAATACTCGATTTGATGGAAATTCATAAATCCGAACGTTTCTAGGGCAATTTCCGGAAAAGCTTCTCTTAGATCCGTCTTAGGAAAGTTCATGGATGAGACCATCACAACGGTGTTAAGCGATGAGGTAGACGAGCTCCTTACGATGACAAAGCACAGATCCGGGGACTCAGAATTGGCTTCTATAAACATCACAGTGTCCTTCCTTAAGATTCATTTTCCTATAAGTAAAATGAGTGCCAATATCTAGTTGTTCAATAAGACAATTATGGGTTCTTTACCCTTTTTGAAAGGATTCGTAAGAAGTAAGTCCATGTTATCAGAAAATATTGTCCTTCAAAGCGCATCTCCTGAAATCCAGCTCCTGGATTCAGTTGCTAAAATCAACGAATGCACTTCTAAGCCGAAGAATTAATCCAGGTTATTGGGTTTTGGAAGCTACTTCAATCTTCGAATTCATGAAGATTCAAGAATGCGAATAAAGGGGAGACTTTCAATAAGGTAGCTTTACTGTACATCAGTTCTCCGGCTTCGGCCTCCTTGTCTTGTTGCTCTGTTTCTGTGAACGAAAGGAACAAGTTCAGGGAAACTGTTAGTAATAATTCGCTCAATGCATACACTTTCCCTTTTTGTAAGGTCCAAAAGGCAACTCCTGCGAATGCACTTAGGAACCCATGAATAATAATAACCGGTGGGTTGTTCGGTTTTTGGGGGTACCACTCAGTCCATCAGCTAATTAAATGCTAAAAATAAAATTCAAATTAAATGCCTTCTTTATTATTAAGACACATTTTACTTACCGGGAGTACACAAATATTCAATCCGAAAAAGGCAATAATTCACTTCATTTAAAGGCAAAATTCACTTTAAGACACTTACCAAATGGTCACTAAAATTTTTTCCACTTTTTTTAATACTGAAAATGGGCACTGCTTATGTACAACTTTTGAGAATCGCATAGAACGGCGCTCAGTTTCTGGTATATTTTTTGCAAAAATTAGTATTTTTCAATTTAAATTATATTTGTATTTAAAGACCTTCAATATATTTTAAGCATTTTTGGAGCCACTGAATCGCATTTTCTACTCTTTAAGCAACATTTCATCCGTGTTAGTTAACGTCAAGGTCTCCTTTTATGTTTTTGAACAGTCTAAATGAATTAATATATACAAGTTATTAAATATGGTAGATTTTAATATTCACTGAATACAATTTCGTTTACTTATTTTTCAAATAAAATGTTTTAAAGGAAAGTAAGATAGAAAAGAAGTTAAAAGCTTTCCTTTTCTGACTCTGAATGCTTCTACTCCTTCAGACTAATTGGATGGACACATTCCACCGTCTTCAATCTTCGATTTGATCCAACTTTCTGAAGTCGCCACAGCACAATAGCTTCTCGTCCGGGTCCAACTTGTCCGTCCCGAATGACGATACTTCCTCGAAGCTTAGATCACTTTCCCAAAAAGATGATTTGAGGAAGTGATAGATTTCAAAGTTCAGTTCAAAGTAGCCGACCAAAATGGATAATAGAGTAAGGAGCATTACCGGTAAAAAACGTGTCGCATTTTAAAAGGCACCGACTCCGACTTGTTTACAGCTTGCAATGCAGACGGGGCAACTGTGACAGACCTCTCTCTCTGTGACAGCTCGGGATCGAGATGGGCAAACGCTGAACTGTACAGGGACGACGATTGGATGATGGAGCAAAGGAGTCATTATACTACTTTACTCCACCTTCCAACCGACGTCGCTCAACAGTTCAGTGGGGCCCAACGCGATACCGAGCTGGCAAAGAAAATGAGGTCCATGACAAAGGCGCGGTCTGCATTGGAAGCTGAGCAAGTCGGAGCCTGTCCCTTTTAAAATGCGGACACGTTTTCTATTTGTCAAGAATGCATCCAAACTGCCATCAGTGCCACTCATAAATGTCCAATCCTGGATCTGCACTTTAGTAAAATGCAAATCCTGAACACCAGCAAGAGCAGTGGCATCCAGGACTGCAGTTAGTGAGTGGACCTCAGAACCCATGAACTATCCCAAGTTCTAACTTCACACAGATCTTCGGTTTTGGGGTACCCCCACCACTGTAATTTCTGGGTGCAGCCGTGAAGATTGGGTTTCGTATGCTTTGATCCTATCGTTTGTTTCTCAGCATTCCAGCTTCTCTAGTCTTCGATTTTATGGTCTTTCAATAATCCGAACATTTCAATTCCAATGAGGCATGGTCGTCTGCAGGTTCTGTCTTGGAGATTTACTTTTCTATAAATATAATAAGCAAATAGAGAACCCGTTAGTGATTAGTCGTTTTCTGTACTTTTTTTTTATAGGATTTTACACTTTTTGGCAGTTTGTTAGTTCTTGTGGCCGAAATAGAAATTTACATGGTTGTGCCCTCCTTTGGATATGAACTAATTTTTAATAACACTTCTGAACGTATGGCAGAGAAAGCCAGGGCTAGCCAATTTGATTAACCGATTATCGATATTTCGGAGTGTATTCGGTAAACGAAATTTACAGAATTGCCAAAATTCGGGTGATTTGTTTTAGCTTTTGATTGTTGTTAATTGTTTATTCATTGAACACAATCTTCTGGATCTTTACCGAACGGAAGTTCTTCTCACTGATACTTGATAAACGTCTTGTCACTCGGCTTTCTGTTCCTTTCTTCACTTCTAAATTTTGGGTTTGAAACCGAAAGATACAGAAAACCAAAGCTAACTCGATTTAAAACTAAATTGAAATTTGGTTTATTTTAGTGAATTTTTCTAAGACATTCATATACTTTTTTACCTAAACGAATATGTGCCAGCCCTTTTATTTTTTTCAACTTTTCAATTTTATTCTTGGTGCCGGAAACTAGAATATATATTTAGTCACGACCGAATTAGATCTTTACCTCACGGGAGTGAGAGGTTAACTAACTTTTGCCGAGACTCTCTAGAAAGGTCAGGAGAATCCTTCCGAAAAGCACTCCTTGTTCATGGACCAAGATGAGCAGCTTTTACTTTTGTTAATCGATTTTTCTTAAATTAAAGTTCTAAAAAAAATAAATTGACTAAAAACTCCGCTGGAAAAAGGAAATCAGAGCCTAAGCACTTATATTTATTAACCATTTTTTGGGGATGAGCTTAAAGACTGAAGTGGCTAGCAGTTGGCCCAGAAAACAGGAAACGGAGAACATGGAAAAAGAACAATAAAGCAAGCAGCCTCCTGGTCGGACATATAGAGTCGCCACCCCTTTTTTTGTTTTTTTGGTCTTTCTCATCCTTTTCAGAAACGGCGACCACAATGGACCAAAGGCATTGCGAAGGGGAAAGTCCTAAATACCAAATCGCCAGGTGGTGGTCACACCTTCATCTTTCTTTACCCCCTTCTTTTGTGAAGGGGGAGGAGGGGGGTAGATGCCACCAGTTGTTGCCTATGACTATTCACCTCTTTCTTTCTCTCCTCCTCTCAGGTTTGTTCCAAACAATTTGCGATGCGACCCATCCGAATGCCTGAAAGCACCTGGAAACACCTGAAAACATTGACACCCACACCTGTACGCCCACTAACCCACTAACCCCCTACACCCCCATCCCCATCCCCATGCCCGCTTTCAACTCACTTACTTATTCATTTCCACTCAATCCGACCCGCGCCCTCAGCTTTTCACCCTTATGCTCATTCCCATCCGTTAATTGTCGTTTGTCTGTTGATTCTAGTTGCTAATTTCTGTTGTCCACTGGATCCGCTGGGGTGTGCAAGGACCTGAGTTGGGGGGATTTAGTAACGTCGGCCGCTGGGCACCTTTTCCAAAGATCAGCGGGCGATTCCCACACGGGTGCCAGGAAATGGAATGGAAATGTACAGAGAAGAGGTGGGGAAGGGCAGGATGTGGGTGTGAGAGTAGCAGAACGACAGGAGCAGTCGGCCAAAAGGTGTTGTGTTGTTGTTGTTGTTGTGGTGTCCTTTGCCCCGCTGCTTTTGTGTGGCAAGCGACAAAAGAAAGCCACTGGCAGCATTTACCAACACCATCGAACGCACAACACTGAGAGAAAAGTATTTTCATAAAATTTATGATAATTTCTTGACTGACCATATTGGTTATCCCTTGGATTCTCCCCTCTTCAAGGGTATCAAATCACTTTTTAACCTTCTAGTTTAAGTTCTTTTTCCCTCAGTGCATCATCCACCCAGCACCCTAAAATGGAAAAAAACGTGGATCTGGGACACAAAGGACAGGCAGCAGGCAGCAGGCAGCCCAGCGATATTATGAACGTAGGTTCTGCTGTCTCCCTCGAAATCGGCTTGATTCCTTGGTCGCCACCGCCGCTCCGATTGCAATTAATTCTGGGTATTCGCATCACGTTCCGGATCCCATCACCAAACAATTTCATCCGTATTAAATGCAATGATGAAAGTGAAAACGCAATCTGCGTTCACCCAATACGTATAGAGTCATGGTTCCATATCCTACCCATAGCCGCTCCACCTCCCCCTCCCCATTCACATTCACATTTAATTCAGCCATACAGTCGAGACGATGTTTGTCTAGAAGCGAAGTGGGAATGCTCTGCTAGGTGGTCTTGAGGTCCTGTGGCTGGAAACAGTGAGCTATCGCAACCCTGGAACTCTGATTAGGATGGGGATAAACCTTTGAAAAAGGTTTGAGTTGTTAAAATCTAACAAAATAATTCACAATTACTTGTTAAAAACACAAAATATAATGTTAAATATTATTAAATGTGATTGAGTTTAACTTTAAAATCAACTTTTAAGAGGATTTATCGGGATTTTTGCCTTAGCAATCTTTTTTTCTCCCTGTTTTTTTGCTTTTTCCTGTTTATTGTTAGAAATTATTATAATTTCTTGTATCCTAATTAAATCTCATACTTCCTTTTTCCCTTTTCTTGAATATATATCTATTAAATTCCCTTTCCTCGATTTCTCACCATTCACCATTTCAAGGCCCTGCCCTCATCTTGTAATTTTATTATTGTTATTTCCAGCCCTCAGTGACGCCCCTTAATTTCGGTTTTTAAACAATGTTGCTAACATTGAAGTAGTACACCGGCGGGGACTCCGACTCCGACTCCGAGACTCCTCTTTTATCTCCCCAGTCTGGATTCCATTAGGATATTTGCCATGCGGCCTGCGGTGACGACGAGTGAAATTCTTTTCTCTGGTTCTCTCGCACAGCCATCAAATAAAGACGATTTAATTTCATTAATTTGCACACACACCCAAAAGGAGGGGCGGGGCGTGTCCCAGTATCCTTACACCTACTGCAGGAATAATGGGCAGGACTTTGGCCACTTTTGTCGCCTGGTGTGCTCCCCTTCTCCTCCTCCTCATGCCTTCCGCCTTCCCCCATACAAGCCCCAGATGCCTTTCATCCACAAAAATGTTCTCTTAATTTTTGTAATTTGTTGTCTTGCTGTGAGGATTGTGGATTGGGTGAGTGGGTGTATTTGGGGGAGGGGCAAGGGTAGGAGGAGGCATTTCAGGACACCAGAGTAATGGTTTTAATATCAGCTATCAGGACATCAGCCTCAGTTTGTGGTATCTTCAATGCGTCCCAATGAGATTTGCATATTGTGGGAGTGTTTGGAGTTTGGGTTACTTCGTAGTTGGGGGTGGGTGGTAAACCCAGCTTTTAACCATTCCCACGAATGCTCCCACTCTGCGATGATGTGGAAAAAATGCCATTCCATTGCCCTCAGATTCGGGCAATGACTGGCCAGAAAAAAAGAAAAACACACGAGAGGAAGAAATACAAACAAACAAAATCTAAACGAAACGTAACTAAACCCAAACAAACCAATACCAAGCCGAGAAAATAAAATCCTGAGGGCAAAGTTACCTTTGCATGTCAGTAGCATTTAGTGACGGATTGTACGTATATGGTAGATACACCCCCATGGCCACTTATATTCAGTTAGCTTAGCATGGTTACGATTTTATATCCTGTAAAAGTCAGCTTGTGACCAGAAGGCAGGATTTTATACGGCATTAGGTATGTTTATCTATGAATTAGTTAGAAAAACTGCAAGTTTTAGGACAACTTAACTTGGTTTAAGGTCTATATCTAAGCTTTGTTTAGGTAATTTGATAAATATTTGGGAAATATGTGGAATAAAAACGGTTATTACTATGGTCGCTAGAAAGTATGCTATGTTTTTTTTTGGTTTTCGAAAAATCTAAATTTTATAAAGTATTCTTATAGTTTATACTACAAATTGGTTAGGAATTATATAGCATAATTAGATATAGCAAATTCTAATCAAATCAAAACACCCCCTGACCGTACAGGGTATACACAGGATAAGTGGTACCTACACTCTCACACGATGCTAACATATTCCTTGAAGCTGCGAGGCGGGGAGGAGGATGTTGCGAGGTCGTCGCATGGAATGGGAATGACCCTCTCCAGCTTAGCATGAAAGCCCGTCAAAATATTGCCTACGAAATTAATTTTGACACATGCCACAATGAGTGAAGGCTTTGTCCAGAGCATCCAGATCGGGGGTAAGTGGCACGCGGGTGGTTTTGCTGGTGTTGCGCTGGCATTGCTGCTGCTGCTACGGCTGTCAGGTGTCGCCGCGCTCTAACTCAAAATTATATGTTTATCATTCCACACTTCAGCTGAGATATATACATATGTGTGAGATATAATGACTGGCTTGTGCTTAGTCCCTTTGCCCAGCCTCTTAAAAGGTAGGTAGTCAATTTCAAAACATATCACTCTCGTGGCTTTTTATAACCTTTTCATGGCATTACGCCTAACGCCATTAGCGGTGAAGCTGTCCAAGAAGAAAAAAAAAAGGATAAAGTGGAGGAAAATGTTAATTAGTATTATAATATATTTATATGAATTTTTTATGATTTATTTAGGTTGTTTTTTAATCAATAAATATAAGATAAATAAGCTAAAATAACGAAAGAAAAACTTCAAAGAACTTAAAAACTTTCAACTTTAACACTCAAAGGCAAGAAAACTCATAGAACGTTCCGTTTTCCGATCAAACCTGGCCTTTCCCTATCGATCGTTCCGCAACTGTGTAACCTACACACACACTCACACACACGCCTACAGCGCACACTTCACATTCACACCCACATACACAGCAAATAAGCTGCAAAAAGAGATCCAGAAGTGAATATCTATATCTATATATATATTTCTTATTAACGTGAGGCAAGTAAAGGAGACGACAAGGATCAAGATCCATGGGCACGTCTACATCCCGCCATCTGACCGCCGAGGAGCTGTTCGAAATCCAAGCGGTTACGGGTTTCTCGCTGGCCCGCCTCGACTATCTCTATGGCCAATACCAGACCTTGGATCGCGATGCCGAGAATCGGGTACTGCGAAGTGAACTTTTGCGTGTGCCGCCAGTGGCCACGCATCCGCTGGCCGAGTATTTGGTGGACACTATGCTGCATCCATCATTGGGTTTCCGGCATTTCGTGACCGGCTTGTCGAGATTTCGTCGCAGCGAACCGCTGGATCGTAAGTTGGCCTCCACTTTGCATCTCTTCGACGAAGATGGCGATGGGTTACTTAGCCCTGACCAGTGCCATGCCCTTTTGGCCCGCCTACCGGTATCGCGACACGAATTACGCGGAATGCGCTGGCGTCTAAAACAGATTCTGACCGAGAAGGATAAGCTGGACGCAGAGGATTTTGGCCATATCACCAGGGGTCTCGACTTGGATCAGAGTCTTTCGCTGCGATTCTCCAACTAGTGGCTTTATATCCTAAACCAAAACACACATACAAAGATGCTCTCGCTTACGCACACCCCTCTACACCCGCTACACCCCCACACACACACACACATAGAGAGTGTGCCAGTGAATTGCATATCCTTTCGCCGCTCGCATAACATCACGTTGTGAAAGTTTTCACATAAACGCAAAAGTTAAGTCATTCCTGAAAATTGTTTCTTGAATTTACTCGCGCGCACTTGTGCCGCTCCTTTCGATGGGTGAGCGGCGACGGCGGCGGCGGCGGCGAGGGTGGCGTGCCGGGGGCCTGGGAATATGAGCACTCTTCCTCAATGGCACTTGAGCTCGTTCTCATGCCAGTCATGACTTTTGTGTCCTTAACCAGGCGCCATACATATGCCCCAAGCATCGTTTTTACACTTGAAGAAAATGTGTGACGGAAATTAAGGGAAAATTACCCTTTTTCGAAGATAAAAATCACATTTTTATATGATTAGATATTAAGTTTATATTTTTTTTTTTTAAGGATTTTATCAAAGTTTCATAAACCTTTTTAGTAGACCTTTCAAGCCCTGAAAGTATGTCCTGCTTTCTTGCCGTTTCTTCTCTGCCTCCGAAACTAGAACATCTTGGGAGTCACCCTCGTCCCACTTTAAGCTATTCTCTTCCTACCTTTCCACAGGTTCCACCAAGTTCTGCTTAATCCGACATTTGCTCATTTGCTCTGGTTGAGGTCACCTGTTACGGTATGGCACATGAGGTATATGCCTGTGTGTGTGTGTGAGGGTCACCACCAGGATCTATCAATTCTGCTGCTACTCCCTACTCTTCTCTCTCTCTGCTCTGAGATGTTTTTGGTTGAGGCAACTCATTTAAACATTCGGTGGGTCATCCATCATATTGAGTAATTGGGTTCCCGGGTTCGATTATACACGTGGCTAATCCGATGGATGGGAATGGTAATGGGTTTCTGACCCTGAAAAGTGGTTTCCTTTCTTGGCTGGGGAATGCTTTGCCCTTTCATAATTAGTTTCTAACTATTTTAAGGTGTGAAATCTAACTTTTTTTTAAGGTTAATATAATCAAAGGAAAAGATTTATGACCAGAGAAAGATATCTTAACTGGCCAATGCGTCGTATGAGTAATTTTTGGTGCCTCAAATTGGAAACTAAACTTCAAATATTTCCCGATTAATAATAGAAAGTAAAAACCAATTAAAACTAACAATGGCGAATGTCAATTCAGAAAGTTAAGTAAAGAAAATAATCCAAAGAATATGATTTTATGTTGCTTTCATCCTCGGGATATTCCTCGTTATCCTTTAACCACTTCACACTTGCCCATAGATTTCCATTATGAAATTAGCCAGGAGATCAAGGACTTTCTATGTGGACAAATCACATTGTAAGGGAGAGTGCAAGAGAGAGAGAGATTTCAGCTGGGATTTCGCGGAGATTTTGCGGGTGACAGCTGGCGGGGATTGCCTCGGGGAGATGGATACGGTGCGAAAAAGCTGCGAGCTGGCGGCTGGCAGGTGGAAAATGTGGGTGCTCCATCTCCAGCTCCATCCTATGTCCGTTTCACTTTGCTGGTTTTTGCGACTGATTGCATTTTTATCCCTTTTATACACAAAATCCATGAAATATGCACACTAACTCATGCGTATTTTATAATAATAAAAGCGCACGGCAAAGTGCCATCCAAGGGGAAGCCTTGGGGGCGGGAGAGGATGGCAAAAAAAAAACAGCGAAGAAGTGGGACTGCATCGCGGAACTGGTTGTCAGTTTATCCCCCAAACTACCTGCTACTGCTGCCACCCTATCCCCTACGACCAACTCGATTGCAAAGACAAAGGATGCAGGCGACCGGTGCCGGTGCCGGGATTGGGATTGGGATTGGGATCGGGACAGACAGCTGGCATCCACTGGGAAGCCAGACAGCTGGCTGGGAACTCTAACAGGGCGCCCTAAAAACCCATGCACAACCCCCCCAATCCCCGCACTGTAAATCTCTTCACATGTGCCCAGGTGGGCAACTTGTTAACGTTGCTGCCACCATTGCCTTCTTCATCCACCACCACCACCACCTTGACACATGGCAAATCGGTTCTCCCGACCGCCAACACCATCAGCATCCGTCGAGGATGTGGCGTGTGTAACAAGGTTAGCTTAGCGGCTTACCCGGTCAAGACAACCCCCAACAACTCACTCTGCCTGCCAAGGGGCAAATATTTAAGGATGTGTTACCACCTATTTACCATCGTTTCCGCTTCCTGCAGCCCCGCTGCCCGCTTCCCTAGGAGGCTTCAAGTGCCGCCTAAGCCATTCACCTTCTTACCATCCACTCAGAGGATCAGGTGGCGTTAGAGGCTGTGGATGGTTAGGCAAAGACCAAGCCTTAAGATTGGATGCATCATGGGCGCGTAGCATGTTAAGCCTGCAACTAACTAACTAACCCAATCTGGCAGAGAAGTTGCAAGGAGAAGAAAACTTCTCTTTATAGCAAAACTTAATTTGATTATCTAATATCTGGCTGGTAAATCTCAAAGGCCAGGCTAACTGCACTCCTTTTAACCGCCGCCACTGCTCGCGGAGGTGGAGGAGGAGAAGGAGGAGGAGCTGCCATGCAACTACCTAGCCTGCGGCTTTGATTGCCTCACTGCTGATCAATCGAGGCAATGCCAATCAGTGATTGAGCCGATGGTTTTGGCCAACTGGGCCGCGGGCGTAATTCAATCGGGCCATGAAACCACTCACCCACCCACTCTTCCCCCGCTAAAATCAACCAGTTGCCCTTATCCCCCCCCTTCAACACTGCCAAATAATTTCGCTTACAATTTGCCATATTTTGTGTCACGATTTGTCTTCGTTGCAAGTTTTATGCATCGCGCGGTTGGTCCTGAAAGGGTTTAGGTTAGGGAAGTGGCGGGTTTAAGCTGGTAAAAAAGGGGTGTCAGGAAAGAAAAAAAGAGAGCTGCCGCTGCTGCATGTGCAGGAGATTCTCCCTTCCTCCTCTGGTCCACCAGTCCCTTATCCTTTTTATGCTCCTGCAGCTGCTTAAACGTGTTTCAAATACGCAATTTCCTTCCTTCCTTCCATCCTCCCACCCGATGAGAGAGATAGAGAGAACTGGCGAAAAGCTGGCGTGAATTTGGTATGCGAATTTGCAATGCCAGGAGAAGCGCGCAAGGATGATCTGATCCAAGGCATAGGAGGAGGAGGAGCAAGTGGCTCCTTGAGGAAGCTTCTTTGGAATACGAATTTCACATTTTTCGCGCTTCATTTTATTAGACATCATATAAACATGTTATAACACTCACACACCCCGGCTAACACACACATACCACTGCCAAAAACCAGAATTGTGGTTATAATAATAGTAGTCTTGGCTAAGGTTATGGAAAAGGAAAAGGTTTTGGAAAATATTTAACAGTTTTTTAGTACAGATAAGTATTTAAATAATAGATTTGGGGGTTAAAATATAAGTTAGTGATGAGGAAGTTTGATAAGTTAGTTGTTTTTGTTTTCAGATTTAGTTTTTGATTTAAGTTACTAACTAAAGAGGAACTAAAGGCAGGTTAATACTGGATTTTCCTAAAAAAAGAATAGTTTTAGTTAGCTGATATCGAGTTAAGTGTCCTTCCAAGTCCTTAAGTACTTCACGTTATAAGCGATTTATCTTAAACAACTTAAAACCCAGAAAATTAAACTAAAAACTCAAAGAAACCCCCACCCATTAACCCATTAATTCACCACAAAAAAAGAGTGAAAACTGAGAAGCCTGTCATAATGATAGCTCTACCTATAAACCACCATATGGCAGACCATCGATGGCCAGAGAAGGATAAGGTGTAAGATTAAAGGAACTCTGTCGCCGTCGATGCAGTCGCTTTCATTTGGCTCATCCTTTCGGGCCTCAAGCATATTTATTATCATGTCGAAGTGTTATCCTTGTTGGCCTTTGGCCCAGTGTTTGGCCAGGAGAAGAAGAAGGAGCAGGAGCAGAAGGACCCCGACCAAGAGCAGGAGCAGGAGTCTTCCTGCAAACTGTTGTTACTCTTCATGTTAACATG